GCAACAGCAGCAGCAACAGCAGCAGCAACAGCAGCAGCAACAGCAACAGCACCAGCAGCTGCTGCAACAGTTGCAGCAGCAGCAGCAGCAACAGCAACAGCAGCAGCAGCATCAGCAGGAACAACAGCAGCAGCAGCAACAGCAACAGCAGCAACAGCAGCAGCTGCTGCAACAGTTGCAGCAACAGCAGGGGCAACATCAGCAGCAACAGCAGCAGGAGCAGCAGCAGGGGCAACAGCAGCAGCTCCAGCTGCTGCAACAGTTGCAGCAACAGCAGGTGCAACAGTTGCAGCAGCAGCAGGGGCAACAGCAGCAGCAACAACAGCCGCAGCAGCTGCAGCAGCGACAGCAGGAGCAACAGCAATCGCAGCAGCCATTGGACCTTCTTCAACAGCAGCAACTGCTACTTGAGTTGCGGCAGCAGCAGCAGCAACAGCAGCCGCAGCAGCAGGTTATTCGGGGCCCATCTCAGTCCACCAGCTCTCACCCACAACTCCAGCCCAACCAGCACAACCAGCAGCAGCAGCAGCAGCAGGCAGGGAGCGCCGTGAGACAGTCCCTGAGTAGCAACTCGCTGACCACCAGCACTGCCACCCCCAATGGCATCACAACCGCTGCTGTCCATGTGGGTGTGCCGTTTGGGAGAGGCAGCTCATGGGGCTACGTCTCCTGTGTCTGCTGCTCCTGCCGCCATTTCTGCTGCTGCTGCTCCTGGTGGAGCCAGTGCTGCTGCTGCTTCTGCGGGTGTTACTGCTGCTGCTGCTGCTGCTTCTGGAGCAGCGGCAGGTGGGTCTGCAGTGGCAGGAGTAGCAGGTGTGGCAGGTGCTGTTGCTCTACCAGCAACAGCAGCTGTTGGAGAAGCAGCAGCAGCAGCAGCAGTAGCAGGAGCACCAGGAGCAGCTGCAGGTGGTGGTGGTGGTGGTGGTGGTGGTGGTGGTGGTGGTAGTCGAAATGTGGTAAAAGGGAGGGCTGGCGCAGGGAGAGGAGGAGGGGGCTGGTCCGGGTCAGGTTTGGATGAGGATGGGGAGGACAGCACGGGCGACTCAGAGCGAGGGGAGGGGGAGGAGGAGGAGGGTGGGGAGGACCTGGGGCTGAGAGGGGTGGGACGGCCAGGTCCCAGGAGGAAGAGTGGTGCAGTCACCAAGCCGTGTGCTGCTGCGCGGGTAAGTGCAGGGGGGGGCTGTAGGGCGCGGGTGAGGGGAAGGTAAGTGGGAAGTGTAGGGGGAAGGAGGAGGGTGTGTGCGACCGAGGAGGAAGAGTGGTGCAGTCACCAAGCTGTGTGCTGCTGTCTGGGTAAGTGCAGGGGGGGGGGAGGGGGTGGGGGGGAGGGGAGGGGATGGAAAAGGGGAACTGTTGGGGAAGGGAAGAGTGTGGGAGGAGGGGGGGTGGAACAGAGGAGGAAGAGTGATGCGGTCACCAAGCCATGTGTGGCCGCCCGGGTGACTGGAGCTGGGGGGAGAAGGGTGTGTGGGGAAGGGGGGAGCGTGCGAGGAAAGGGGGAAAAGGGATGCTGTGGTGTGTTCCTCGCTAATCGCTGTCCCCCTCCCTTCTCATCAGTGCTCCCTCTCCCCTACTCTTTGTGTCCCCACGCTCTCGAGTCTGGTTCCCCTCTTCTCCTCACTCACCTCTCTGCCTCTCCTCACTCTTTTCTACCCCCCTTCTTCTCACTCCTCTCTGCCCCCCACCCTTCTCCTCACTGCATCGTTTGTCCTCAATCCTTCTCCACTCTGTGTTAAACCCTGCAGAAGCGGAGGGACCGCATATCGCGGCACATCCGCACTTTACAAGGGCTGGTGCCCTCGTCCACCAAGGACAGACGCCGCCACTGTGCTGGCTCAGACCATCCGCTACCTGCGTGGCCTTGAAAGCCAAGTCGCGGTGAGTTAATAGAATTCAAGTTCCTGTAGGTTAACAGTCTTGAGCTATAGGGAAAGGCAGTGTGAGGGAGTGCTGCTACTACAGGCATCCACCAAGACAGACGCCGCCACTGTGCTGGCTCAAACCATCCGCTACCTGCGCTGCCTCGAGATCCAAGTATCGGTGAGAGGAGTGAGGGTCAAAGCATTGGTGCTTAGCCACCCATCCCCCTGCTTTCCTTTGCTGCACACCCTCTCCTATTCCATCCGTCGGCCACCACTATCGCCAGGTGCCTCTTCTTTTACCCCACCTTCGCAGACCTCTCTACAAACCCACAAACTCTCTCGTTTCCTCCTGACTCAATTCCTGCATCCTGACTCTCTCCCGGCTTGCATGGCCTGGTTCAATCCCCTGTCGTGTGTTGTACACAGGAGCTCAAGGCCAAAGTGGGCGCATTGGGGGGCAGCAGCTCCCAGGCAGAGTATTAGCGTAGCAGGCAGCAGCTCCTAGGGTACCACCAGCTTCCAGATTAGAGAGTAGCAGCAGTGCAAGGCTGTTGGAGGGTAACAGATACGGTAGCTTCACGCAGTGCCTCTCCATGTTAGAATATGTAGGTTTTGCCAACTTGATTTGTGAAGATGTTTGGGGTAGTGTTGAGCAGCATGTCAGAAAACTAGCTGCTTTAGTCTCGCCTCTGCCCTTGCCCATTTAGCTGAAATTGCATCCTCCTGTAAGGTCGTATCCCAGCCTAGGGTCAAGAAGTTGCAAGGAGTTTGCACACGCGATTGGTTAAAAAAAACGCTCGACCAATCGCATTGGTCGGGCGTCTGTTTTGAACCAATCGCGCGCCCAAACTTTTTGCCACCAACTTTCTCGACACTAGGCTGGGATACGATGGAAGTAGTTGTCAGCATCAAGACATAAAGAGCAACAGTAACAGTACAAGAATTACCTCTGTTTTCTACATTTCCAAGGAATGACTGAGCAATGGTGATATTTGTCCATTCATTTTGAGCTAGAGTGGAATGTGTGCCCAGGCTCATGGCAATGTGTTTGGGCCATAGCACCCTGTATAGCAGTACACACAAGTCAGCAGTCTAGCCAGCCACTGTTGATTCAATTGACAGAGACAAACCGCTCTGGCTATATGCCGGTCCGCTGTCTGCCCATCTGCCTCGCTGCAAGACTTGTTAGCCCACTAGGTGAGTTGCAGGGCTGCTTTGAATGAGCCTTTTTGGCAACAAGGCACAAAATGCATGTGGCAGCGGTGGCTCAGAGCTCCTTGCGGGGGAGGCGCCTAAAGTTGATGAATGGCGACCACAGCAGCATGCTGGCAGGGGACAGTGGGATAACGGGGGAGGGGGAAGGGGGAAAGGGGAAGGGGGAATTGGGAAGGGGGGAGGGGAAAGGGGGAAGGGGAGAGGGGGGAGGAAGGGTGCGTTTGGAGTGGCAGCAGGTGGCTCAGAGCTCCTTGCGGGGGAGGCGCCTGAAGTTAATGAAGGGCGACCACAGCAGCATGCTGGCAGGGCTGGGGGAAGGGGGACACTGGGAAGGGGAAACGGGGAAGGCGCCATGAGGCTGATGAAGAACAGGGATAGCGCTCCAGAAGAGGGAGGAGGAGGAAGGGGAGGGGGGTGGTTTGTGAGGGTGCATTGGCAATGTTAGTAATATACATAGGTATGCATGCAGTGGGAGTGAGTGAGTATGCTACTGTTGGACTGAATTAGCATGGCCACGGCAAGCCGTACTTAACTACCAGAACAAGGCGTGAATGGGTCTCACGTGGGGAAGAAGCACATTACGAGGTGAGAAGAAGCACATTACGAGGTGATACTGGAAGGATTTTTTCAAGGCGCCTAAACCATTTAGTGGCGACTTTAGGGGCGGCTTAAAAGGCGAGCAGGGGACTCACGCGGGGAAGAAGGCGAACATGAGGTAATACTGGAAGAACGTCTCAATGGTGGAGCGGTTGAACCACCGCAGGCGCAGATACCCGTACACCAGTGGCTGCACATGGGCCGTCAGAGGGGACGGGTGGGGAGGATGGGAGGGGGAGACGGAGGTCAGAGGGAAGAGGCGACGGTGAAGATGTTCCAATGAGAAAGCTTCACCCTAAATTGATCGTCCGATACAGCAGCGCCACCAATGCAGCACTACTTACCAGCGCAGCAGTACATACCAGCCACGCCGCAGCAGCACTCACGGGCGCAACGAAGAGGTAGATGGCGGCAGTTCTGCCCCAGTAGATGGAACTACTCCACCAACTGCTCGTCCAATGCAACAGCGCCTACCAATGCAGCAGCACCTACCAGGCAGGAGCGGGGCAGCAGCACTAACCAATGCAGAAACTCCTACCAGCGCAGCAGCACTCACGGGTGCAACGAAGAGGTAGATAACGGCAGTGATGCCCCAGTAGATCAGGGACTCCACGAACTCCTCGTCCGTCTGTCCCACCGACTCCGCCGCCACCGCTGGCGCCGCCAGGAGCGCGAGCTGCGCGGGGAGGGTGAAGGGTGTCGGGGGAGAAGGCAATGCGACGAGTGTGCGGTTCAGCGCGGTGCAGGATTGGCTACGTATCCGGGCTCACATAAGCGCGCTCAGATGCGAGCGACAGGCTAGTAGAACCTCATGTTTCAAGGGCAGAGGCCAACTTCTGACGACGCAACTCATGCTGGAGCACTAATCATGACGAAAACACACTGAACAGATTCACTTGGCCCCTGCCAGTTCGTTCCATCTAAGCATCTAGATATACAACGAGACTGGGAAGTGGGAAAACCGGGTGGAGACGACGAGACGAAGTGAAAGAACAGAAACTTGGGGATGTTGGCGACAACGACCGAACGGCTCTGGATGGTAAGTGAGCTTGATTCTCTCAAGCGCTTTCCCATGCAGAAGTAAAAAGCTTCGACTGAAGCGTAAGCTTGATTCTCTTTCTCTCGTCTCCGTGATTTTTTCTAACAGCTCCGATAGCCTGGTCGCTAGCCGAGTGCCTGAATGGACCCGTGTATTTACGACGACTGGATTGTGCCCGCTACAGATGATGCGTGAACGTACGGGTGCGAGGAAGGCAGCGGCTGTGGAGGAGATCGTCGACGCGTTGATGGCGAGCTGCTGCGGGGAAAACTGCGATCAGAGTAGCAGGGCGACGGGAGGGAACAGCAATAAGAACAGACTGTCAAGACGAGGTAAGCGCGATGGAAAATGTGCGGAATGAACTGCCGGGGGAATGTGCATGGAGAACTGAAGGTTGTCAAATCAGGACCAAGTCAGCGTAGCAAGTCCCAAAAAAGAAAGAAAACAAAATACGAAAAACCGAGGGAATGGGACGAGGCTGTACTTGATCGATGCTCGCTTGGGTCGAAGATTGGCTGACCAGCGAGCTTCTCAAAGGCGAAGCAGCCTGTTATCGCGTGATGGGAAGAAAGAGGTCGAGAGAGATCACGAGCGAGCAGATTTGCATCGAAGAGTGAAAGCCTGTGAATTTAGGGTTAAGAACATCTGTTAAAGAAGACTTGACACGACCTGCTAATGCACCCTAACGCAGTCCTGAAGGAGCCTACGGAGGCTTAGAAGGTTCGGATTGCTTCCATCTGCTTGCATGAACACGCCAGCTCAAGCCAGCACATCGCGACTATGTATATAGTCGACACGCGAGTAACTCTTACTGAGCTTCAGTATGCTTATGCACATTCTAGGGGAGCTGAGAAAAGGTCGCACCTCAGGCTGGTCGCAACTCGCACGAGCATTGACGACGATTCTAGCGTTGACTGCCGGCGGTCGTGCGAGGCGAGCTCCAGATGCGAATCTGGGCCGCGACGGCAATGAGAGGTACGGTGAGCGGGTCGCAACCGACGCCTGCATTGTAACGGCAGCCATTGCTTCAACACTAAGCGTCAGCTTTGACTGCTGACAATGAGCGGCAGCAGGAACCTAACAGCAGCAGAATAATTACGATCAGAGTCGGCTGCACTTTTTTTTTCTTAGAGCTTGAGCTGACCGTGCACTGTCATAGGAAGAAATAATCTGCTTTCAACTCCTCTTTTCTCGGCTAACTCGCTTCGCCGCTTTCGACCGCGACTCACCTATCTGAACATTGTGACAAGACTTACGGCTGGCATCACACGCACATGAGGTGGTGTGGTGAATGCAGGATGACGGTAACACGGGCAAGGTGCAGCGAACGCCTCACTTTGCGTGACCTGGCAGAAGCCACGCGGCAAGATCGAGGCCACAGCAGCGAATGGCTAGATGACCTATCCGCTGCCGCAAATATCACCTTTTGTGAACCTTCATGCTTCCACAATTGTATTACATCTCCTAGCGGTTTGATGTTCTTCTGTTCCACTTTATCCTGTATCCTAGTTCTCTTTAGCGACGATTCTCATTTCACAACCGTACGTTGACCAATATTCCACCTGTTTCACGCGCAAACTCTGACCTCGGATGTTGAGATCGTGGCTCGGGTGCCACCAAACCTCAAAACCTCAGCTCCGGCCACTTCCGGAACCCCCAAGGTGCGTTGGAAACACGTCATCCGTACCCGGGACAAGCCATCACACAGCCAAACCAGCATCAGCCGAACCTCAGCCGAACCAGAAGTCTATCAGCAAGCATTCTCACTGATTTCTCACCCAGTCTACCCTACCTATCCTTCTCATCGTCCTGTTTCACTCCTCTCACTCAGTCCTTGGCACTGTATCATTGCTTGTCTGCATTGTAGCTTTCCCCTCTAGTTGTGTGTCAGTGAGTTGTCATTGTCACCAACATTGTTGCCTCAGCACCGTTGTGGTCCTAACAACAAATGCTTATCTATTCCGCTTAGGTTTCCGGAAATGGCGGAACGCAAACGGCAAGAACGCGGTCTTGTTGGCAGTGCGCCTCCGGAACCGTCTCCCAGACCTAACCGTCCCCCGCAAACGCATTCCGGGCCCCTCGCTCCCCGTAAAAAGTCCGACACCGGCCCGAATAAACAAACGCCTTTGGTGCCGCAAAAGGCGGATGGCCCGCCGCGAGCCAGCGTCCGAGGCGCGTTCCCTCGATCCAGCAGCGTGGGAAGCCCCATCGTGCCAAACGAAGAGGTCAGCGAACCTCCGCCAATGGTTCAGCGCGCGTCGACCGGATCGCGGCAGCTGAAAGTCAACCCAGTCAACGATCCAGGTGTGGCTGAAACCGCGACAACCCCCACGGGAAGTCAAGAGAAAAAGAAAGGGATTTCGTTCCTTGGCGGTCTAAGCTTTAAAACCACCGCATCAACAGATAAGGCCGTGGCGGCCACTTTAAGGACTTATCCCGACCTAAAGCCGTGCATTGTGAAAGGTAACAAACCGCGGCGCCGGCAACGAGATTCATCGGAACCCAGAAGAAAGGTTACGTTCAACGAAAAAATTGAGGTCGCGGTGTGGGAGGTGGAGGAGGAGGAAAATGTCACAGAATCCAAATCGGCGAATAAAGGACGTGGATTTTTCTTATCCAAGGTGCTGACTGGCGCAGCAAGCAGTCTGCTATCGCAGGGGTCGAAGAAACCGCTTCCCAAGGATCTGCCGCTTCAGATTGCACCTAAGAAGAAAAAGGGCGAAGCGGGGAAGGCGGGGAAGGCGGGGAAGGATCAAGCGGCGTCGGGTGAGGTGAAGTCGGCGAAAGCGCGCCCAGCCCCTGGTGCGAAGCGCGCTACTCCGCCCGTCGCGGGTGCCAAACCCAAAGCTGCAGGCGTAAGACCTGGCCCTCCTGCGCAGAGACCGCGGCCGGCGGGCGCGGATGCGCCAGGGATGGGGGAGAGGCGGATGCGGCCACCTCCGCCTGCCGGCAGCGGTGCCGGCGACGGCGGGCCCCGGGGCCCCCCTCGCGCTGGCGCTGGACGCGGGCAGGCGGCAGCGGAGAGGCCGGCGGAAGGACGGCAAAGGGATCGGGGGGAGATGCGGGGAAACGTGACCGGGCCGGGGCAACCGGCGGGGGGTCCACGGGACATGGCGCAGCAAGGGGGTCAGCAGCAGTGGGGCGGGAGTGGCGGAGGGATGGGCACGCAAGGAGCGAGCATGAGCGGGCAGGGGGGCATGGGCGGACAGGGGATGGGATGATGGGGCAGGGATGATGGGGGGAGGGGGAATGCCTGTCGGAGGACCGCCGATGGGGATGCAGATGCAAGGAGGTATGGGGACGGGGAACCAAGGCATGGGCATGGGCGGCCCAGGTATGGGCATGGCCGGGCAGCCAATCGGCGCGCAGTACGGATATGATGCGAATCAGAATGCGATGGGCATGGATATGGCAGGCGGCGGAGGGTATGGTCACCAATGGGCGGGGGGCGCGGGGAACGCGGGGAGCGGCGGCGAGTGGGAGTATGAGCAGGAGGGGGAGTGGGGGGAGGTGGAAGGGGAGGAATACGAGGATGAAGAGGAGCTTGAGGATGGGCAGGATTATGAGGAGGAGGAGGAGGAAGAGGAGGAAGATGATGAAGAAGAGGAGGAGGAGGAAGAGGATGAGGAAGAAGAGGAGGAAGAAGATGAGGAGGAAGAGGGGGAGGAGGAGGAAGAGGAGGGGGAGGATGAGGAGGGTGAGGAGGAGGAAGAGGAGAGCGGTGCTAATTGGTCGCACGCTGGGGGTGGTTACCAGCAGGGGCAAATGGGGATGCCTGGGGGGCCGATGGGGGGGGGGATGGGGATGCAGCAGCAGGGCATGCCGATGCATGTTAACAACCCCAACCAGGGGGCATCTATGCCTGTCGGCTTTGGGGGTCCTCCTGGCATGATGCCCCCCCCTCAGGGGTACTCGAACGCGATGCCCCCAGGTTCTGGGCCTAATTACCCTGGCTTCCAACCCGCTCGTGGGTACCCCCAGCAGGCGCAGATGGGGGGCATGGCGGATGATCTCTATGGCGGAGGGAATGGGGGCGGCGGAGGGATGTGGGGGCCGCAGATGGGGGGAATGCCGCCCCAGGGCGGGGGGATGGGGCCTGGGGGCGCGGTGGGGGCGGTTGACGACGATTTGTACGGGGGCAGGGGGAGCTGGGGCGGGCAGCAGGACATGGGCGGAATGCAAGGGGGGATGCAGGGCGGAATGCAGGGGGGGATGCAAGGGGGAATGCAGGGCGGATGGCAGGGGCAGCAAGGTGGAGGGGGAGGCAATTGGGGGAGGCCGGGTTGGGGAGGCGGGGGAGACATGGCCGGCGGAGAGCAGGGAGGAGTGAAGCTGGAGCGATCACTGGCAGCTGATGACGCACGCGAGCAGGAACTGGATCAGGTGGGTGCATGGTCACTCTGAAGGCGCTGCCTTTGAGTCGACATTTGAGTCCAGGTGAGTCAAAGTTGAATCAAAAGGCAGCTGGAGCGGTTGTGGGCGGCTTATGACGCACGCGAGCAGGAACTGGATCAGGTGGGTGCATAGTCTCTTTTGAGGCGCCTCGAAAGCACATGAGCAGGAGCATGTGGGTGCATATTCACTTTTGAGGCGCCTCGAAACACCTCACGAGCAGGAGCACAGTCATGTGTGTGCGTGCTGCTTCCACTGCTCGCCGTTCCCTTACCCCATCCTCCCCTCCTGTCACTCAACCACGCCTCCCACCCCTTGCCCCCTCCCCATTCCATTCTGCACTTCCGCAGCACCCGAAAGCCTTTCCCTGCTCTTTCCCTCTTTCTCTTGACTGCAGGTCCGCCTTCTCCCTCCCGACAAGCCAGCAGTCACACTGAGATCAGCCTTTGTTTTTCCAAGACCTGGGCCTGCAGGTGCAACGCAAAAGCCCCCCCTCCGGCCCCGCCCTATCACCGCCTCTCCCCTCCGTCCTGCACTTCCATACCACCTCAAATTCCTCTCCCCGGTTTTTCCCCTCTTCTCCCTCCACTAAAGGTCCGTCCTCTCCCTCGCGGCAAGCCAGCAGTCGCACGGAGCGTAGCCTATATCTTAGAGGGCCTTGGAGGAGGCTCCGAATTCTTTCTCTCGTCCCCCCACACCACTGCATGTCCGCCCTCTCGCTCCCATCAAGCTGGCAGTCACGCGGAGCTCAGCCTTAGCCTTGGAAAGAGCCTTTGAGGCGACTCAAAAGCCTTTATCTCTCCGCCCCTCCCTCCACTGCAGGTCCGTCCTCTCCCTCCCAGCTAGCCGGCAGCCACACGAAGCGCAGCTCAGCCTTTGTGTTTGAGGGGCGCCAAGGTGACTCAAATATATGTTTCTCTTTTTCCCTCCCTCCACTGCAGGTCCGTCCTCTCCCCCCCGGCAAGCCAGCAGTCACACGGAGCGCAGCCTTTGTCTTTGAAGATCTGGGCCTGCAGGTGCAGCGCAAAGGGCCCCCGTCCGGCCCCGCTCCTCCCCACTCCATGCCGCCGCCCTCCGCCTCAAACCCTAACCTGCCCGGAAATTTTCCTCCCGGGCAGCCGCCAATGTGGGGCAGCAGCATGAGCACGGGCGGTGTTAATGGCCCGCCAACCCCGTCAAGTAAGATGCTGCTGGGGCCAGGGGCACGGTCGCATCGAGGCATGCGATTGCTGTCTGAGGATGTACCTGAAATGAGGCAGAGAGGCGGGCCGGGAGGCAGGAGGCCGGGTGGCGGAGGGGAGTATGACGGAGGGAGAGAGGTCCGGGCGCCGTCACCTGATGAGAGTCGGCTGAGTGAGAGGATGAGGAGGCAAGGGTTAGGAGAGGGAGGGGCGGGAGGGGGGGCGAGGGGCGGAGGTGTGAGCGGGGGTGGGGATCGGCAGGGGCATAGGTATTCTGGGTCGACTATGAGCAATGCCAGCAGCGCTGTTGGGGGCGGTGGGGCAGGTGGGAGCACCAGTGGCTCTGCGCGTAAACCAGGCAAGGATCAGCAGCAGCAGCAGAGCTCGAGAGCAGAAAAGAGGCAGCCTCCAACGCCACAGCAACAGGCTGAGCAGAGGGAGAGAATTATGAAGAAGTTAGCAGGGGGCCAGCCACAGCCGCAACCACAGGCCCCGGTGGAGCAAGAGCCGGGCGGCGAGAAGATGAAGAGGACAAGCACAGGCGGTAGAAGATGAGTGAATTATTGGATACTGATAATTATGGTGCTTTTTGCGCTTCCAGATTTTTTTTTAGAGAAAGCAAGGGAAATTGTCTAGGAATTGCTGAAATGCAATGAAATGGAATTTTTGACAGGTGAGGTGAGTCGGCTCGGCAGACCAGATATGGTGAGGTTTGATGAGCATATATACTGCATCTTTTTCATTTAGCTCCAGTGGAGCACATGTTCTGGGAATTCGGTTTGCTAGGCTGAGGCAAGGCACAGCTTCGGAATCCCCAACCTGACGTGATTCAATCGAATGGAAGCTTCACCTAGATTCCCTCGCTTTCAAGCAGCACCTGCCACAGCAGCACTCTCCTTCCCGCCACGACAGCTCAAGCCGCGGCACGCGCAAGCCAGCGACGGCGGTTGTCCCTTGGGTTTTGTTTGGCTGGCAGAGCGCTTGCTCCCTTCACTTCCCCGGCCCTTTGACTTGGTTCATCCCGTCCCGTCTACCCTCGGGATTGGGTCGTCCTTCCTCGCCTGATTTCGTCAGGCTTTGTTGTCGTCCCCTTCACCTCGCCTAGAACTTTGTTGCTATCTGCGTCCCTTGGGGCCCCCTTGTTTCTTTCGTCCCTTGGACTTCGTTGCTTGGGACTTTGTTCCTGCTCGCTTTGTCTTCCGTCTTTTTTCTAGCTTCTGGTCTTGAGGCACATAGCCGTTTTCCCGTCTTACAGACCAACTGCCCTAGTCGCAGGTCAAAGCTTTCGTGGAAATGTTAAAACTCGGTCCTATAAGAGAAAAGTGAAGCCTCTCGGCGAGCTTGTAACTTGTTGGTAGCCATCCCGTGCGAACACATTGTAGCGACTCTAGATAGGCCCGCAACTCACTTCAGTAACATTCAGTAGTAGTAATTAAAATCATTTTAGGGTATATTAATCTGAAGGTGCCATGGACGTCACTGCGGATATTAAAGTGCTGGTGGCGATGCGGGACGACCAGCACTGCCGAGAAGCCCTAGACTGGACGATTAAGGAGTTCGGAAAGCGCAAGGATACCAGCGTGTGTCTGCTCCTCACGCATATTGTGACGGAACTTCGCAATACAGGTGCGCTGCTGCAGCGAGGACCTCATAATCAAGGAGCTGTTATCAACTGGGTGTTTAAGAGCGATCGAAATTAAGGCCAAGATATTGTCGGCAAGAAATTATTCAGGGTCTCTGTTTGCAATGTACGTCAATCAAGAGCTTCGATGCGCCAGGTACGCTCGAAAATCAAGTCGCAGAACGATTGCACCACAATCTGCACTTTTCTCCTACAGAAACTCCTCGTTTATTTTGTTATGTCTCTCTCTCGTTCTGTCGCTTACGCCTTACGCGCACCCTATCGTAAACACCCTCGCACCCTGTTGTAATACGTTCGCACCCTATCGTAAAACAGTCGGGCACTCTCGCAAAACGCTCGCGACTGGTCGCAACGCGCTTGCGCCCTGTCGCATCACCTCCAATCCTTTCCGTGCTAACCTCCCTCGCAGGACTTCCGTGTCTCCCTCTTCTCTCGCTGGCTATTCATTTTCTATCTGCCCCTTCCTCCTCCCGCCGTAACTCCTCCAAACCAGAAAAAAAAAACTCTCCTTCCCCAAGCGGACCGTGGCATGCGACCGCGTGCTGCCATCAAACCCCCTTCCTTCCCCGTTCTTCCTTTCCCCACTTCGCCCTTGCTTCCCCTATCCAGCGGGCAAGTTAGTGCGCCTGAGCGAGGCGGACAGCCCGCGCGTGGCGGCGCACAAATGCGACCACGTGCTGCCAGCTAACCCCTTTCCTTCCCCGTCCCTCCCCCGATTCCCCCGTTTTTCTCTCCCTCTCCAGCGGGCAAGCTGGTGCGCCTAGGCGAGGCGGACAGCCCGAGCGTGGCGGTGCACATATGCGACCGCGTTCTGCCGTACCTCGAGAGCCTGCAAGACGTCAGCGACGACGCCGGGGTAAGTCGCTTTACTGATGTGGGGGTGAGTGATGTGAGACGTGCGGACGAGTGGCTTGAAATGTGAGTCTGGGGGGTAGAATGACATGAGGCGTGGCGGTGGATGCGAAATGGTGCTAGACGGGGCCGTATTCTCTCCCACCCTTCTCTTATCTTCGTTTCCACCCCCCTGCAACCGCGTTCTTGCTTCCCCCGTTTTCTTCTCTTCCCACCCTCCTGCACACCTTGTTGGACGCGATAAAGAACTAGGTCCACGCCAGCTCCATACTCACGCGACCCCTTTCTTTCTCCGCTCTCTCACCCCACATTCTCATGAGGTGCAACCCCTTGCTTCTCTCTCCCACCCCGCCAGCCCTCGCTCAACTCTCTCTCTCTCTCCACCACTCCCGCCCCAGCCCTCCAGCTGCCGTCCACGGTGCACGTGACCAAGAACGAGGGCAATAGCGGGGCCATCCTCGTGTGACCCCTCTCTTTCTCTCTCTTTCTGACCTCTCGCCACTCTTTCCTCCCCCCTCCCCCCCCATTCCCAGCTGCCGTCCACGGTGCACGTGATTAAGAACGGGGATAAGGGCCGCGCCATCCTCGTGGGACCCCGTTCTTTGCCCCCTCTTTCAACCCATAACCTTCACTGATCGTTCTCCCCGCTCTTATGCACCCTCCCCACCCTCCCATTCCCCCAGTTGCCGTCCACGGTGCACGTGATAAAGAACGAGGACAAGGGCGGCGCCATTCTTGAGGCGGCGCAGAAGCTGGAGGCGACGCACATCGTGCTGGCTAGCATTCCCAACAAGCCCATCGGCGAGTGAGTTCTCCGTTGCACTCAGTTGAACAGAGCCAGAGTGGTGCCATCTCATTCCCGTTGCATGACGTGTGCTGTCTTGTGCCACGCCACGCCATCCCGTCAACAGGCCATTGGCTTTCCCGCCCCTCTCCTCCTCTTCCCCCTCCCCCCCGCATGTCCTCATGGCACCACGCGAGCCACACCCTAACAACCCCCAACCATGCACCTCCATCCTAACAACCCTGCGTCACGCCCCTCCCCTCCCTTTTCCCCCTCATTCTCCACGGCATGGCAGGTGGAAGACCATCAACGTGTGCGCGAGGGAGGAGGTGTTGCCGCCCGGCGCGTCGCTCTATGTGGTGCAGAGTGGCAAGAAGCTGAAAACCGTGCAGAGCAAGGAGCAGGCGCCCGCTAAGGTGAGTCATTCTCGCCATTCACCCACTCTTTCCCGTTAAGATGAGTTGTTCCCTGCATTCATCCGCTCTCTCCTCACATGCTCCGCACGTGCTCCCCCATGCAGCCCGTCCCCCTTGCTGCCCTTACGCTTTACCCCCATCCCCGTTTCCCCTATCTCTCCCAACTCGTCCTCTCCTCCTTATCCCACGTTTCCAACCCATCCCAGCCCGTCCCTCCCCCAGCACGCGTGTTCCACGGCACAGCGCTCAACAAGAAGCTGCCAGACATCCAGGAAGGGATCTGTTTTCCTATCTCTTGTGCTCCCTCGCGCCCCTTACCTTCTGACATCCCATGCCCCACTTCCCTGCGTTTCCTCTTTCCGCCCTCCCAGCCCGTCCCTCCCCCAGCGCGAGTGTTCCACGGGACAGCCCTCAACAAGAAGCTGCCAGACATCCAGGAGGGGGGGAGCGGCGTGCAGGAGGACGGAGACGCACAGGGGGGCAGCGGGGCAGCGGACGGGGAGGGGGAAGGGGAAGGGGAAGGGGAAGCGGGAGGCAAGGAGGCCGCAGCAGAGGGGGGAGCAGAGGGGGAAGGGGCTGGGAAGGCGGAGGGCGGGGCAGTGGAGGGGGGAGGGGAGGGTGCGGGGAAGAACGAGGAGGGGCTGTCTGCTCTGGAGCTGGCTAGGCGAGCATATGCTGCTAAGGCCAAGGCTGCTGCTGGGGCAGGCGGTGGGGGTGGGTCTGGGGGCGCGGCAGCAGGTGGGGCAGCAGCAGGAGGAGGAGGGGCGGCAACGGCAGGGGGGGCGGCGGGAGGGGGAGTGCCGCCCAAGGACCGGCCGAGGAAGAAGAAGCCATCGGCTGGTGCTAAGGTTGGTAGCAGCACCTTCTTGTGTTAGAGTGTTGTCAGGTGCATTTTGAGTTGACTCAAAATACAGGAGCGGCGGTGGGAGGTGGAGTGCCGCCCAAGGACCGGCCGAGGAAGAAGAAGCCCTCTGCTGGCGCTAAGGGCGGTTGCACGGCCTTCTGGTCTTGTTCTAGATTGTGAAAGAGACACAAAACACACTCACACGGGGGAAAATGTGGGACGCCTTACCTGATACGTTCTATAACCAATCCCTCTGCTGAACCATGCCATTGCCAGCCCAAGGGCTGGGCCTTAGATTGCATGAGAGAATGTGGAGCAATGTTGCCACTGTTCCCTCCTCTCCTTCCCTCTCCTCTCCAATCATTTCATCTCTTCGCTCACCTTACCCCTTCCCTATCCCCTTAACCCATTCCCTCACACCAGGGGCGCCTTGAAAAGAAGATGGCGGAGAGGGAGGGACCATCTGGGCGCAAAGTCCCGTCGGACAAGAACCCGCTGACGAGGCCGCTGCAGGTGGTGGAACCCTCCCACTCACATCCTGTGCCCTTGCTCCCTCTTGCCCCCTCTCCCTTCCTCTTGCCCCCTCTCCCTTCGTCTTGCCCCCTCTCCCCCCCATTCCCGCACACCAGGCCCGGCTGGAAAAGAAGATGGCGGAGAGGGAGGGCTCATCAGGCCGCAAGGTGCCGTCGGACAAGAACCCGCTCACGCGGCCGCTGCAGGTGGTTGAATTATCCCACTTGTACTGAGTGCCTTTCTCCCTCTTCCTCTTCCTTCATCTCCCCACTCCCTCATCACAGGCCCGGCTTGAGAAGAAGATGGCGGAGAGGGAGGGCTCCTCCGGCCGTAAAGTGCCCTCGGACAAGAATCCGCTGACACGCCCTCTCCAAGTGGTGGAGCCCGCAGAGGGCGCGCAGAGGCAGCCGTTCAAAGAGTTCACGCTGGAGGAGCTGCAGGCCGCCATCGAGCACTTCTGGCCCAACCACGTGTGCGGCGAGGGCAGCTACGGCGTGGTGTATAAGGGCATGATTGACGGGCAGACGGTCGCTGTGAAGCAGCTCAAGAACCCCGACGTGAAGGCTGCTCTCGATGAGATCGACCGGGAGGTGCGTTGCGGTGGGGTGTGGGTGGGTTGTTGATGGGTGGGGTTGAGGTGTGGCGATTTTCTTTGAAACTGTTGTCCCCCACTTACCCCATTCCTCCGTTTTCCCTCCCCGACCCCTCTTAACGCACGGAGGACAGATGGAAGTGCAGAAGCGCATAAACCACCCAAACCTAGTTGACCTGCTAAGCACCGGTAGTATTCCACCCCATTCCACCCCTTCCCCTTCCTCCCCAACGCACGGAGCGCAGATGGAGGTGCAGAAGCGCATAGACCACCCGAATGCGGTGCGCCTGGTGGGGTACTGCAGGGAGGACCGCTCGCTGGTCTACGAGTTCATGGCCAACGGGTCTCTTGAGGACCGCCTGCTGTGTATTGGGGGGGTGCCTCCCCTCCAGTGGCCTGAGCGCTGCCGCATCGCCATGGAGGTGAGATAAAGGGGGTGGGGTGTGGTGCAGTGCGGTGCTATGCGGTGGGGTACTGCAGGGAGGACTGCTCCCTGGTCTATGAGTTCATGGCCAACGGGTCTCTCAAGGACCGCCTGCTCTGCATCGGAGGCGTGCCGCCGTTGCAGTGGCCTGAACGCTGCCGCATCGCCATGGAGGTGAGCTGAAAGGGTGGAGGGCTGGGATTTAGGTTGAGAGGGAGGGCTTGCATCAGGTGAGTGCCACTGCTGCAGTGCAGTGACTGGATCATTGCTGCATCCTTCTTCTCCCTTTTTCGCCCTGCCCCCTAAACCGTATCCAGATAGCAGCAGGGCTGCAGCATCTCCACACGCGCAAGCCGCCCATCGTGCACCGCGATGTGAAGCCAGCCAATATACCCTGCTCCCTCTGACCCTTCTTTCTCTCTCCCCTCCCGATTCCCCCTTCTTCGCACCTCCCCACACCACCAGATCGCAGCAGGCCTGCAGCACCTGCACACGCGCAAGCCGCCCATCGTGCACCGCGATGTGAAGCCAGCCAATGTGCTGCTGGACGACCACTTCACCGCCAAGCTTGGCGACGTGGGGCTCGCTCGCCTCATGGGCGACCTCGCTCCCGGCCACTCCCACGTCGTGCGGAAATCAGTCATTGTCGGGACCGAGCATTATGTCGATCCTGAGTATCTGTGCGCCAGGAGGGGGTATCTCGGGCCGAAATCGGACGTGTATTCGTTCGGAGTGGTGCTGCTGCAGATGCTGGTTGGGGAGGTGCCGAACCTGAAGAGGATCGATGCTATGGTGGAGAAGGAGGAGTTGACAGTGGTGCTGGATCCCAGGGCTGGTGAATGGCCGCCGAACCTGGCACTTGATCTCGCGAACCTGGGGCTGTGGTGCGCGGAAATGGACCGCCGAGATCGGCCGGATCTGACGGAGGAGGTGATTCCGGCGCTGATGGATATTTGCGAGGCGGCGGCCGATGCGGTGGTTGAGTGGGAGGCGAAGCAGGAGGCACAGAAGGAGAAGGAGCGGCTGGAGAAGGAGGAGAAGGAGAAGGCTGAGAAGGAGGCGAGGGCGAAGGCTGAGGAGGAGAAGAAGAAGAAGCAGCAGGCGGAAGAGGAAGCTGCTAGGAAGCCCAAGGAGGCGGCTGCTGGGGCTGGGGCGAGCGAGGCGGCGTCGGCGGGGAAGAAAGCAGGAGCAGCGGGAGCGGTGGCAGCACCGTCGAATGAAGCGGCGAAGGGTGGGTGCTGTACCATTTCGTAACGCTGTTGTGATGGGTGTGGTGCGGCGATTCATGGAATAAATGGCTGGAAGTGAGGGAAGTGTAGGTAGGTGTTAGCAGCTGCAACCATGCTTTTGCACGACAAATAGTATGTTGTGTCTCTCATATGGGAATGGGGGGCTATGGCATAACGCTGGTATGATCGACTAGCTGATGTAGGAGTCAGGTTGACTTGATAAGCGCACCAGGTGTGTGGTCTTGTAAATGTGCTAGGACATTAGGATTTGCTGTTAGGAAGGAATTTTGTTGTGGTAGAATTGACCTTGCGTAGGTGGTACTTTCTTGCCTTAATACCATGCTAACTAGGCAGTATTGATCAGATAGCGCACTCTAATCTCGGGGAGGTTCTTATCGATTTCAGCGACAATCACCGAAGTCATGCAGTTGCGACCTGCTTTTCACAAGCCAAGCGACGAGCATCACTCAAATATCAGCCTCCGTCTCGCAGCGAGTGTCGCCGCATCCGTCGCTAGCCGTTTCATTTTCCCGCTCACACCGCGACTCGCTGCACTGTCCGCATCCACCGCTCTTGCCGCCGCCATGGCCGCCGCGCTTAACCGCCGCGGCTTCTCGCTCGCGCGCACGGCGCTCCCGCAGCTCCGCGCGCTGACGACCTCCGCGCAGCGCTCCGCAGTGGGGAAGGCCGAAGCGGCAGAGGTGTCCGGCATTCCCAAGGAGCAACTCCAGCGGAAGGTGCGGCTTCGGAGATCGCGGCCCTAATCGCGGGGGTTCGGAATAGGTAGTCACGGAGCTAGTTCGCGTTGTGCTTATATCCACCCGCTTCGTCCGCTCGGAACAGCTGCCTCGCGCGCGGATCGCACCGTCCATCCAGCGCCAACGTCGTCCCCGTTGCCTCTCCCTGCCTTTTCTTCTCCCTCTCCCTCTCATCCCGCCCGACCTTCTCCTTCCATCACCCTTTGGTTTCCGCGCTTCCGCGGCTGCGCTGCTGACGTGGCGGGGTATTTTTTTGCAGGTGGTTGTGTACAGTCCCGCGCGAGCCGCGTCGCAGCAGGGCATGGGGCGGCATGGACAGTGGAAGATTAGATTCGATACCACGCAGAAGTGAGATTCCGTTCAGGCTTTTGTTGTTGTGGAAATGATTTGATGTGCATACCCACTTGGGGTATGCACGTAGCTTACCATATGTTTGCGTGCACATCTGTGTTCATGTCGCCATGTGCACTGTGTCCCTTGATTGCGTCTCTGTGTGCTGTATTGTGCATGTGTGCATGCAGGTGGGAGAACCCCCTGATGGGGTGGACATCAACAGCGGACCCCATGGCATGTGTGGCGGACTCAGCCCTCTCCTTCCACTCCAAGCAGGACGCCGTTGACTTTGTTGAACGCCACGGCTGGCACTACCAGGTACGTGGATGGCAGTACCACTGAGTATCTAGCAGTACCACTGGGCATCTGGCAGTACCACTGGGTATCTGGCAGTACCACTGGGTATCTGGCAGTACCACTGGGTTTCTGGCAGTACCACTGGGTATCTAACAGTACCATTGGGTATCTAACAGTACCACTGGGTATGTAACAGTACCACTAAGTATCTAACAGTACCACTGGGTATCTAACAGTACCACTGGGTATCTGGCAGATCATGCCCTCTCCTTCCACTCCAAGCAGGACGCCGTTGACTTTGTTGAACGCCATGGCTGGCACTACCAGGTAGTGAAAAGTAGCAGGTATTGAGAAGTAGCCGGCATGTGGCACTGCTAACTTCTTGAACGTGGGGCTGAGGCATTTACTGGTACCAGGTACGTGGCACCATCCGTGGCAGGTACGTGGCAGCACCATCAGGTACGTGGCAGCACCATCAGGTATTCGGCAAAATGGTGCCGGGGGTAGCATGAAGGTGGTTCAGCAGCAGGTTGTGTAAATGTCAACTGCCCCCATCGCTTCATCATGCTTGTTTCTCGTTTCAATCCCTGTGTCAATGTACATGTTGTGCGGCATGGCTGACAAGTCTCTGCCTGGGATAACATTTTTTTTCTTTTTCCCTTTTGCCCCCTCTGTGTTTTCAGGTCCTCGAGCCGCAGAAGCCAATCAAGAAGGTAAAACTGCACATAGTTTACACCCTACTTCCCCTCTGCTCTTCTAGACCTTTAGACCCTCTGTTCAATTTCCTGCACCCACGAAACATGGCACGCAGATTTTCTCAAGCTTGCTATTTCTTGTGCTGTTCAAGATCCAGTGCGCTCTTGAGCCACATCTAGCTTGCATACTTATGAAATTGGTTTTTATTGTCCCTCCACTCCATGCAGCCCAAATCATACGCGGACAACTTTCGCTGGAAGGGTCCTCCCGCCACTGCTGCTGACAAGTAGATCGTTAAAACCTAAGAATTCTATATTTCATGTTTCCACTCAGCTGTAGATGGTGGTTATTAGTCGTTTTCGCAGTGTACATTTTCTCGCACTGTAGCACTTAGCTCTGCACCGCACACACCGGAGCGCGATCGCTACAAGCACCACCGCTCCCAAGCGCCCAGGGCAGGTCTTGGTGGGGCTGGTTCTGCATCCTTATTGGCCATATGGCACTCCTAGCGCCCCCGCGCTCGCGAATGGGGGGACGAACTTCTCCCCCACGCAGGGAAGGTGCTGATTCTCCCCCCGCAGCGACGAGCTAAATTAGCACCTCTCGTCCGCCCGGCCCGCCCCATACCACCCACCTAATTCGCGCCACCCTCCCCCCAGCCGCCGCGCAACGACGAACCCTCACAGTGATCACACGCACAAGGTGCATTGCACCAGGTTCCTAGTCTTTGGAGCAGACGTGCGGTCTGTGTTTAATCAGATATTGTTTGTTGCTCCGCGATTCCACGTGGCCGTTAATACGCCGACCCGCTTACGCAGTATCTAGCAGTGCCAGCCTAGCCTCGAAGCATGCGATGCGATGCGAGTAAGGCAGCCTCTGGTAGGCGCGTGTGCAGCACGCGCCATGGCTGCCGTGAGTGATAGGCTTTTTCGACAAGCGCTGCCATCCGGGATGGTGATTTGGAGGGCGCTAGCTTGACTCGGGTCGCAGTCGTTACTCATCACACTCGTCGCACAATGGGCCGTTTCGAGAGCTTCGCCTCGTTACGCTCGTTTCTATGCTGTCGTCGAATTTCGCGTGCAAGGGTCTCTCAAAGATTAAGAGCCTCAAGATTAGTTACGTAGTTACTCTTCGCTTGTCGCAGCACCTTCAGACAGTAATCGCTGACCTGAACCACTCGTTCGCATGGCTGACGTGGCAGCGGCTGGGTCCCACTGCGCGCCGAGTCAACGCAAGTCGTCTCTTCCGCGGCAACATCTCGTTGCCGGCGCCCGGCGGCGATTCCGCCTCCGCCGATCCCTCCATTCCCTCCTCCTCCCCCTCTTCCTCTCCGCCGTCTTCTCTTCCGCCCCCCGGCAAATCTCCGCAAAGGCGCGCCTGCAAGGCGACCAATGCGCACTGCTGGCGGAGCAGCTGGCGGCGACCGCGCGCGTCGTGCCCGGGACTGTCGGCGTGGGCTTCGCGACGCCGTCACAAGCAAAGCACTGCCTCCGCTCCTTCCGCTTCCAAGCGTCGCGCGATATCCCCGTTATAGACTCAATCATCAACGGTCTAGCGAACTTCTACGTTTACAGACACATCGCGATTAACTCACCCGATGAGCGTCTCCCGAGCGACGTCGATATAGTATCCTACCTGCGCGCGATTCGAGAGAAGGCGTTAGCGGGGAAGGGGATTAAGAGCCTGATGCGGTTCCAGACATTAATCTACCGCGCACTAATGAGTCTTAACGACGGCCACACGATGTTCAGCTCCTCGTGCTTCCACCGAACCGCGTCCTATTACCTCCCGCTGCCGCTCGTCGCCGTCGTCGAGGACGGTAACCAGATCATCCGCGTCGCGCCGTCCTCGCGTGAGTGGCGGCCTCCGCACGATTTTCCCCTATGCCCATTCCACGCCATCGTTTCCATTCCCCACTTTTCCCCACCTTTCCGCCCATTTCTCCCGAAACCCCTTCCACCACCACCCCCCCCGGCCAACCCCCCATCCCCCTTCGCCCCACCTTCCCCAGTGCTGCTAGAACGCCTAGACGTGGCGGCCCTAGTCCTCCACCAGGGTGACTACTACCGCTACGAGGGCGCGCAGGTGACAAGAAACACCCTCTCGCTCCCTCCCCCTCACGGCCTTGCCCATTGCCCCGTCCCTTCCCGCAGTGCTCCTAGAAGGGTTAGACGTGGCAGCGCTGGTGCTCCACCAGTTCGACTACTACCGCTACGAGGGCGCGCAGGTGATGACCATCAATGGCGCCCCCGCCATGGAGTACCTATTAGAGTGGGCGGCGCGCTACGTGGGGCAGTACCGCGACTCGGGCGTGCGCTTCAATCTGCTCTTTGCAAGAAGGGTTGTGTCCAAGGCGACGGGCGCGGTGATTGCGACTCAGGGCGCGTTCGCACAGAGGAGTATCGCGCCGACGAATGACAGCGTTGTGGTGGAGCTGATACTGGCGTGAGTTAAAGGCGTGGGGAGGGATGGGGAGGGGTGCCGTTGTTTGCAGATGGGCATGGGGAAAGAGTCATGTCGCACAGAGCAGCCATGGGGCATGGGGGTGTGGGGCATCGGGTATGGGCATGGGGCATGCATGGGGTATGGACATGGCGTATGGGGCATGGGGCATGCATGGGGTATGGACTTGGCGTATGGGCCATGGGGTATGGACATGGCGTATGGGGCATGGGCCATTTCACAGCCTTAATCACCATCGAGCTTTGCTGTCTTTCATGTACCATGGGGCGTATGGGGCATGGGGTACCATGTACTCCCACTCTCCCTCTCCCTCCCTCCTGCTTCCTCCCCCCCTTCCTCCCCATCACCGTGACATCACAGCACGAGTGCCACACCAGTACAAGTAACGGTGCCGTGGGTGGCAGTGCTGCCGACCAATTTCGACTCCGCCACCTCCTACTGGGCGGCAAACTGCGCCACCCCTCGCCAGCCCACCGCCTCTGCCGCTGCTGCTTCTGCCCCTGCTGCTGCTTCTGCCGCTGCTGCTGCTGCTGCTGCTGAGGGAAGCAGGGGAATAGGGGCAGCTGGGGTTGATCTGGGGGCGCGCAGTAGGGCAAGGGGGACAGATTGGGCTCTGGATGCGGATGGGGGGAGGGGGGAAGGTGCTGGGGACGCGGCGAAGGAGTGGGAGAGGGAGCGGTGGGGGGAGAGGGAACGGGGAGATGGGAGAGGAGAAGAACGAGGGGAGGGGAGGGTGAGGAGACCTGGGCCTCTGTTGAGTGAGAGGCTGAAGAAGAGAGCTTGTGGCGTGGGGGCATGGGTAGCAGAGGCCGCAGCAGAAAGCACCGAGGGAGCGGAGAGCACATTGACAGGGAACGGAGCTGAGAGTGTAGGGAGTGCAGATAATGCAGAGAGCACGGGCGGGACAGAAGGCACAGAGAAGGGAGCAGAGCGCACAGTAGGAGCAGGGGTATGGGGCAGCAGTCGGGCAGGGATGGGCGACAGCAGCGCGGAGAGAGCGTCTGGGTGGCCGACTCTGGCTGTGGAGTTCCCAAGGCCCGACCTCGACGCCCGCCCCTCCCTGCTCCGCCCCCCTCCCCCATCCCCTGCCGCCCCCCTGCTGTTCCGGTCCCAATACCAAGCAGCGGCTGCTGCTGCTGAGTCTGCTGAATCTGCTGCCCCTGCTGATGCTGCTAGTAGTGCTGCTGCTGGCAGCAACGGGCGTGCCTCGTCAGCGCCAGCGCCGAATGACCTGGCGGGAGCGCAGAAAATGTCCACAGCAACAGCGCTGATTCCCGTGGGTGCCGTGTGCTTTGATACACTTGGTAGCATGCAGCGTAATGTGGTGCCTGCCATGCCATGCCACTCCATCTCTTCCACATGCACCCCGCTGCTTCTTCCCTCGTCCCCCTCCTAAGGTCTGCTCGTGCTCTTCTCCCTCTCTTCCTCCGTTCACCCTCCCCTCCCCTCCCCGCTCCCCTCCCCCAGGTCTACCTACGAGCAGAGAACGCCACAGCAGTCATCTGGCGCACACCTGCCATCTCTCCACTTGCTCTCACCAACATCCGGCGCCGCAAACAACATGCTCCGCGCTCCTTCTCACCCTCTTTCTCACTTCCTCTCCCTCTCTTCCGCCTCCCCTACCTCCCCCCTTCCCCAGGTCTACCTGCTAGCAGACAACGCCACGGCAGTCATCTGGCTGCACACCTTCCTGCCAGCAATGGACGGCTCAGATGAAGCCCTCATCGCCTTCCTGCTCACCGAGATCTCCACAGCCGTTGATCTCGCCAACCAGTGAGTCCAGAACTCTCTTCCCCAGCGTCCGCCCCAGTGCTCGTTCACCCCATTCCACTGGTTCCATCCCCCTCCCTCCCCCACTCCCCACTGTGACTCCCCCCACAACTCCCATCCCCTTTCCCAGACACAGCAGGACAGAACTCCTGAGAGTGAGTGGCAGCAGTCGTTGTCGCCCCTGTCCCATTACCCCACGGGCCGCATTTCCTCCCCGGACCTTCCTCCTGGCGCCGTCCACCTCACCTCATCTGTCCCTTTCCTTTTCTTCTCCTTCTGCCTCCTCATTCCCTCCTCGTGTTCCCTCCCTGGCCCCACTCACCCTTTCCAAGGCACGGCAAGCGAATCATAATGGACGTGAGTGGCAACGGCGGGGGCTACGCCGACATAGCATACCTCCTGCTGCGCCTCGTGGCCGGCAAGCAAAAGGCCCCCGAGGGGCGCGTGCAGATGCCACAGCAGCTGCTCATATCCAATGCATTCATGCTCTCATTACTGGACAAGCAGCTCACCTCGTTCTACCAGTGGGATAAGTACGTGAAGGTTGACGAGGCCACGCCGGTGAAAAGCGTGCGGGATTTCAAGCCGTTTCTGGAGGAAACGTTTTCCCCGGATGGGGAGACCGGAGTGTACTCGGGCTTGTTCAAGCTCGCCGCGTTCCCCGGGCTTGAGAAGGTCCCGTTTCGGGGCCCGGTGTTTGGGGCCCGGCCGCTCGTTATAGTCACAAACGGGAACTGCTTCTCAGCCTGCGCTATATTCACGCATAATCTCCGGAAGCGGTTCAATGTGAAGCATGTGACTGTAGGGGGGGTTCTGGGTCAACCCCTTGGGATCAGCGCGTCTTGCATGGGAGCGACCATGCCGTCTTTAGAAACCGGAGTGACTAATTTCCTAACCGGGACAAAACTCGCCAACCACCCGCGCGCGCCGAAGCCGTTTCCATATAATGTGGTGCAAGGAGTGGCGGTGGTACAAGGGTATGTGGAGGATAAAGTGCCGTGTGAATATGTTTTTCTGCCCGGGGACCAGCATGTTGACCTGACCATGGATAAAGTGGCCAACCCTGCGCTTGTGTGGACAGAGGCCTCCCAATACTATTAATGCGATATGCTTTTACCTACTGTATTCACCTGCCGCTTCGTTACCAGTAGGTATGTTTTTTAGGCGTCTCAGAAGTATACGGTACCCTGCCCTGGCACCATACCATACCATGGAGAACACCTTCCGCTTCCACCAACCAGCTACAACTGTCGATGCAGAGATTCTATCCACTTGCCACCACATTAAGTTCAATACGCCTACTGTAAAAAACAGACCATCTGCTTGTTCCAATTGTTGGAAACAATCGGTCCTAAGCGCCTCTGTCGTGTCGAAACACTAAGACACAAAAGAAACAAAGTATAACGAATCACCGGCGAGTCAACCCTCGGAGGTTGAAAGTAACTGTTGGAAGTTACGCGAAAGTCAAAGGTCAGCGACCTTTGACCTTAATAAGTACAGCGCGACAGCAAGGACGAACAACTGACTCGGTATTGAGCAGTTGCCCGAGTCGTCACTGTATCGAACCGCAACAGCAATAGTAAAACGGTTATTAACTGTATCTCTTCGTATTCCTTGTACTCTTATAAAAGCTTGTATCTCTTTGTTTTAAGCAACTTACTTTGCCCTCACATACTAGCGCAAGGTGGTTCACAACTCTTTAATTAACGCTTCCGCTACTACACCAACTCTACCCAGAGTTCACCCCTGCAAAGATCCTAAAAGTTTTTCAGCCCAACATGGTATGAGAGCTAAAAGGGGGAATTCAACTTCTATACCGACAACATCAACAAGCATGGCTACACAAAAGGAAAGGAGCAACTCCAACGGTTCCCAGGGCACTACTCCTACTCCACCTCCTGCCTTTGGCCTACAGACAGAGGAGGGCACAGCAACAAGACCCAGAGCAACATCTACCGAGACTCCCGCGAATCAACCTGCAGACTTCGCCCAGAGCATGATGGAGAAGTTTTTATCCTTCATGTCCTTCTACGAGCAACACCAGCAATCGGCACCTGCGCAGTCACACAACAGCAACAACAACGGAGCAACACCCATGAGTCTCGACGGCTCATCATATGCACGAGGAAATCAACAACAGCAGCCTACCTTTGCTCCGTACGAGCGCGGGTCCATCAGCTTTATGCCACACCCACAGCCCTCACCTGGACAAGAAAAATCACTGGACGCATTACAAGTTCAGTCGCAGTTCGCACACGTTCTGAAGATGCAGACGTTCTGAAGAACCTTCGATGGAAAGGAATTCTTCACCTGGTCGTTCGAGTTCGAGCTTATGATGGAAGGCGCGCAGATACTCGGGTTCTTCGACGGGTCTCTGCCATACCCAACAAACGGCACACAGTACGAGAAGCAGCAATACACCTATCAGTCAATGATGGCGTACACGATCCTACTGAGGAATATCACCCCGACTCAACAGCAGAACATAAGGTCTTACCGAGGTTACGACAACTCCTTTGAGCTCGCATACAACCACCTGAAGAGCCTGTATCAAGCAACAGACAGCGTAAGCCAAAGTCGGTTAATGGCGCAACTGACAACGGTTGAAATGAAACCAGGGGAGAAAGGAATGGCGTATATCAGTCGATGTCGCGAGTTGCGCGACAAGCTTCTTCGATGCGGAGGGTCAATCTCTAAAGACGCCTTCGTGACAGTCATCATCGGCGGCCTCGGTCCTCAATGGCGCGCCACAAAGGCCATTCTCCGAGCTCACGGAAGAATCTCCGAAGCAGCGCTCTGCGCCGAAATCCACGCCGAGCAGCAAGACATGGACCTGCAAGAAGAACGACACAAAAAGAAGACATCAGCACCGGAATTCGCGTTCCACACTCAGCGACGCTACAACAACAACAACAACCGGCAGCAACAACCGAAGCTAGTACCTCCGTTCTGCCACATCTGCAAAACTTCAGGACACCCGCGTACGCACTGCCCAAATCGTCAACAGTCAACAACTCTGCAGCGGCAACTTCGACCTTCAAGCAGCCAAATCGCCTCAACGCAAGCAAATCCCACGACCCAGATTCATGCCTCAACGACTTCAACGGGACAACCTGCACAAGGAGCAAGAAACATCGTCAGCTGCATGGCAAAGCTGAGTGACTCCTGCATCACCGAGTCACCACCACACTACTCACCGGAATAACAACTCGACGAAACCACACCTCGCCGCGAGTCACTTCAGCCGAACCCGACATACGCCGCCATCGCCCAAAGCGAACCATCCGGAAAGGACACATGGTTCTTGGACAGTTGCTGCGGACAGCACATGTGCTCCTCGGGATGCTTCGTTCAACGAGAACACCAACTTCAACGCGAAGTTGTCATTACAGTCGCCAACAATCAGAACCTGCGAACACGACGACAGGGCGTAGTTCAACTTCAGTCAAGGGAAACAAACGTTATACTGCAGATGTCAAAAGTACTAATCGCGGAGGGACTCGACTAAAACTTACTGAGCGTCAGTCAGCTAATGGCGAAAGAGATTCACCTCGAAGCACACAGCACCACCCAAGAATTCAAGCTGTATCACGGGAGAGGAGGACTTTACATCGGCAAGGCGGTCCTCAAGAACGGCGTCTTCGTTCTTGATTTCGTTCCTGATCTTGGCACCGCCGACAGCGACGCCATTGTTAACTTCACCAACTGGACACACCCTCTAGACCTTGATCCAGACTTCAGTCCAGAAGGCTTCTGGTATTCACACACCATCCCTGAAGCAGAAAGAACAAGGGCGTTAGCAACAATTCAGACAACATCAGCAGCAGCAGAGACAACATCGGCAGCCGCAGAGACAACGTCGGCAGCAGCAGAGACAACATCGGCAGCAGCAGAGACAACATCGGCAGTAGCAGAACCATCAACGGCAGCAGCAGGAACGTCAACACCAATTGCTGATCCTTCAACGACACCGCTCCTCATCAACGACACACCACCGACACCCGCGCAACAACTACACCCAGCACCACGAGAAGTTCATTGTAGCGCCAACTTCACCGCCAACTTCTACTCCAACTCCGATATGTACCGACGATCACCCGGACATCGCGCCGACGAAAGCACCTGGCACGCAAGGATGGGACACCCAAGCAACATTGTATTAAACAATACGATAAGAGCAGGAGTACTCGACAAGGACTCACTCCTACTGACCGACGGACGAGAACTTCAACGAGTACGCGGAACGTGCTTCACCTGCCCTGAAGGTGACTTACCACATCGACCGTTTGCGTCTCATCACAACCCGAGCGCACCCGCATACGCACCACTCGAGAAGGTGTATAGCGACATCTTGTACAATCGAGAACCAGGACAAGTAATATACAACTATACAATCACCTTCATCGACGCCGCCACCCGTTACGTCTGGCACCTAAACCTCCCTAGCCGCGACATGGCATTCGCAGCCTTCGTTGCCTGGCTACCAGTAGCAGAGAGAGAATCGGGCGTGAAACTGAAAAGCTTCCAGTCAGACGGAGGAGGAGAATACACCTCTCAGCGATTCAAGCAGTACCTGGCGGAAAGGGGAATCAAGCGGCTCATCTCCCTTCCCTACGCCCATCAGCAGCAAGGTGTAGCAGAAAGAATGAACAGGACCTTGCAGAACAGCATGCGCAAACTGTTACGTGGCATGAGGCTACCCAACCACCAGTGGCCTGCGGCAATGGACCACGCCGTCATGCTGCACAACTTGCTCTCGTCATCATCGCTTCCAAACAACGCATCACCGCATCTGCTATGGACAGGGAAACAGGGCAGCACAAAAATGTTACGAGTATTCGGATGCATGGTACAGTACCGACCCCCAGCAGCACGAGCGGGCCGATTTTCTCAACGAGCACAGTGGGGACTACACCTGGGAACCGAAACGAACTACAACGCGTGGAAAATCTTCGACGTCCATTCCAAGGAAACAGTAGCAGCACGTGATGTAATTTTCTACGAACGACTCACGCTCCAGACATACCTTGCCAACCTGCAAGAAGACCAGGATCCCACAGGTGGTTTTCGAGGTGACCGAGCCTTCGCCCCAGCAGCGGACGAAGCTGACTGGGACGAGCAGAATGTGGACAACGCATAAGAAGAAGCCAGACCTCTTCCGTTCTGCTCCGTCGACGTTCCCATGGACGAAGATAACCCTCGCGAAAGTGTCAACGCCGAAACCTTCTACTATTTCGCCGACAACGGTTACGTAACACCTGCGACAGTCAACACCAACGAAGCAGAACGAGTAGGACCCAACTTCATACTTGACCCAGAAGCGGGAGATGAAGCAGCTTATCTCGAGGACGCAAATCTTCCCCGCTACTCACAGAGTGGACTGCAAATTCTCGGACTCGTCACCGCAGTCCACGGCACCGCCATTCCTAAAGAGCCTGCGACGGTTCAACAGGCTCTGGGGGGGGAGCATAAGGAAAAATGGCGCGAATCCATGGACAACGAGCTGAAGGCACTGGAGGAACGCAACACGTGGAAAGTGGTTCCTATTGGCGTGGCACGGAACAAGAAAGTGCTCACTGGGAAGTGGGTCTTCCGTGTGAAGACAAAGGCTGACGGCACCATTGAAAAATTTAAAGCTCGCTGGGTTGTACGCGGCTTCGACCAAGAACACGGACGCGACTTCACCGAAACTTTCGCTCCGGTTAGCCGCCACACCTCACTACGCATTCTCCTCGCAATCGCCGCCATGAAGAAGAAGAAGCTGCGACAAATTGACGTCGCGAACGCGTTTCTCTACGCACCTGTTGATGCAGAAATTTTCGTCGAGCTACCGTACGGCTCCCACAGAGAACCCAACCAAGTCTGCCAGCTACTCAAGTCACTCTACGGCATCAAGCAGGCTCCACGACTGTGGCAACAGTACCTGCACGCTCGCCTCATCCGCATCGGCTTCAAACAATTACCGCACAATCAAGGCATGTACCGGCTCACAAAAAACGACGACTACATCCTACTAATCATCTACGTGGACGATCTCCTTAACATCGGCTCAAATGACGGCATCACTACCTGGTTCGAAGGGGAGATGCAGCGAGATCTCA